AATTAATACACATATACAGAGTATTCCACCCAACAACAAGAGCATACACATTCTTCTCAGTATTACATGGGTCATTCTCTAAAATAGACCATATATTAATTCACAGAGCATATTTAAATCAATGCAAAAGGGTTGAAATTATCCCTTACATGCTATCAGACCATAGCACTATAAAATTAGAAATTAATGATAAAAGATACTGCAAAAATACCACAAACACATGGAAACTGAATAACACTCTTGAGTAATCAGTGAGTCACAGAGGAGATTAAAGAAGAAATTAAACAATACCTACAAACAAATGGAAACACAAATACAACGTACCAGAATCTGTGTCATGCAATGAAAGCTGTCCTCTGAGGAAAATTTATTGCATGAATTCCCACATTAGGAAAACAGAACGAATGCAAATAAATAACCTTATTTTATACCTCAAACATCTAGAAAAAAGAAGAACAAGTCAAACCCAAAGCTAAAAGAAGAGAAGAAATTATAAAAATCAGAGCAGAAATCAATGCAATAAAGACTAAAAAAACAATCCAACAAATCAATGAATCAAAGACCTGGTTCTTTCAAAGAATAAATAAAATCGAAAAGCCCCTAGCCAACCTTATTTAAAAAATGGAATAAAAAGTTCAAATCCATGAAATAAGGAATAAAAGATGTGAAATTACTACAGACCCTATTGAAATACAGAAGATCATCAACACCTATTTCGAAAACCTCTACCCTCAAAGGTTTTATAACACAGAAGAACTATACAGATTCCTAAAGCATATGAAGTACCAAAGCTAGGTCATGAAGATGTAAAACTACTGAATAACACAAATTCTATTAATGAAACTGAATACAAAATAAAATCATTACCTACAAAGAAGAGCCCAGGCCCAGACAGATTTACTAAAGAATTCTACAAGAAATACAAAGAAGACCTAATGCCAACACTCCTCAAAAAATCTTCACTGAAATGGAAAGGGAAGCAATCCTTCATAATTGTTCCTAGACGCAAATATTACTCTAGTACCAAAACCAGAGGAGGACCCAACTGAAAAAGAGAACTAGAGACCAATCTCCCTAATGAACATAGATGCAAAAATCCTCAATAAAATATTGGCAAATAGGATGCAGCAAATCAACGAGAAGATCATATACCATGACCAAGTGGGATTCATCCCAGGCATGCAGAGATTGTTTAATATATGTAAATCAATAAATGTAATACACCATATCAATAAAGCCAAAAGTTATAATCACATGATCATTACTACAGATGCAGAAAAAGCTTTTGATAGGGTCCAGCATACATTTATGATAAGAGCCTTGCAGAAAATTGGAATAGATGGTCCTTACCTCAATATAATAAATGCCGGCAATGACAAAACAACAGCCAGTACCATACTAAAAGGTGAAAAACTGAAGGCCTTTACTTTAAAATCGGGCAGAAGACAAGGATGTCCCTTATCACAGCTCCTATTTAATATAATACTGGAAATACTGGGCAGAGCAATTAGAAAAGAGAGAGAAATAACAGGTGTAAAGATATGAAAAGAAGAAGTTATATTATCATTACTTGCAGATGACATGATACTTTGTATAGAAGATCCCTGAAGCTCCATTGAAAGACTCCTAGATATAATAAATAAATTCAGTAATGTAGCTGGATACAGAATCAATACTCAAAAATCAATAGCATTCCTATGCACTAACACAAAATCACAGAGACAGAAATAAGACGCCACACCCTTCACGCTAGCAACCAAAAAAATGAAATATTTAGGAATTACTCTCATGAAAGAAGTGAAAGACCTATACAGGGAAAATTATAACACAATGAAAAATGAAATTGAAGATAATCTCAGAAAATGGAAAGACATCCCTTGCTCATGGATAGGAAGAATAAATATTGCGAAAATGGCCATTCTCCCAAAACTTTTATACAGATGCAATGCAATCCCGATAAAAATACCATCAACATACCTCATAGAACTTGAGAAACCACCCCTAAAATTCATCTGGAATGAGAAGAAACCTAGAATAGCAAAGACAGAGGCAGCAAAAGCAAGGCAGGAGGCACCATAATCCCTGACTTGAAGTTATACTACAAAGCAACTGTAGTGAAATCAGCATGGTACTGGAACCAAAACAGAGCCGAAGATCAGTGGAAGAGATGAGAAGATACAACCACCACTACAAACACACTAAACTACCTTATCTTTGATAAATGGGCCAAACATGTTCACTGGAAGAATGACATTCTCTTTAATAAATGGTGGTGAAAAACTGGCTCTCCATATGCCTAAAACTAAAACTAGACCCATGCCTATCACCAAGTACTAAAATAAAATCTAAATGGATCAAAGATCTAAATATTAAAACAGAAACACTAAATCTATTGGAAGACAAATTGGGTAAAAACCTTGAAGACATAGGAGTAGGTAGAGAATTGATGAACAGGACTCAAACTGCATGGGAAATTCTTCCCAGAATCAATAATTGGGATCACTTCTTATTAAAAAGTTTCTGCACATCAAAATAAATCTCCAGTATAGTTAAAAGAAAACCCACAAACTGGGAAAAGTCTTAGTGAACTGCCCCTCAGACAGAGGACTTCTGTCTAAAACATATAAAGAATTTTTTAAAATGAGACCACCAAAATTCAAAGACCCAATCCAAAAATGAGCATCTGAGATGAATAAACAATTTTGAGATAAAGAAATATAAATGAAAAATAAATACATGAAAAAATGTTCACCATCAATGGTCATTAGAGAAATGCAAATTAAAACCACACTGAGATTACATCTCACTCCTGAAAGAATGGCCAAGATAAAGAAAACCATCAACAACAAATGTTGGAGATGCTGTTGGGACAAAGGAACTCTCCTGCACTGTTGATGGGAGTGACTGGTACAACCATTGTGTAGGTCAGTCTAGAGATTTCTCAGAATGCTGTGACTGGAAGTACCTTTTGACCCAGCTATTCTACTTCTAGGCATATTCACAGAAGAACTGAAAGCATCATTCCACAGCGATATATGTGCACCCATTTTTATAGCAGCGCAGTTTGTAATAGCCAGATTTGGAAACAACCTAAGTGTCCATCAACTGAAGAATGGATAAAAAAGTTATGGTGTTTTTATACAATGGAGTACTACTTAGCTATAAAGAATGATCACATTGACATATGAATAAATGGATGCATACTGAGACCATACTCATAAGTGAAATAAATCAAACTTACATGTATAAATACCAAATATATTCCCTAGTATAAGAAATGATAATACATAGAAGTATGTGGTAATCATGATACCCAATCATGTTGGTGTGAATGCACATAATGTTTTCACTGATTAAGTTCAATGGTTTTATTCTGGGTTTTTCAATTTTAGTATCTGTGATGGTACAAATAGCTATTCTGAAGAAAATAACACATCATAAAAGCTAGTGCTGATTTAATATCACCTTCTTTGGAATTCCCATCAAGTTGTTGTACAAGTTTCCACTGATTTTAACATGTTGTATCTTACTATATTTTAGTGTGATAGTATAAATAAAAATTTTTACAGGCAAAGAGATAATATAGAAATCGTTGTTCATTTTCTGTTAACTGGCTCTAAATACCCTATAATTCTTTCATTCTCTTGAATGGCTTCACACTGTCTTGATTTGATTGATTCTGTAGTATACGAAGTTATACTCAAATAATTCAAGGAAAGAGGCACTATGGTGACTACTAGTATGTTAGATTACCTGGTGGTGAAACAAAATGATGCTTTAATTTTTCAGTTCTGACCTGTGTTGTTCTATTACAATGTCTCTTTTATCTCAATCTCCACCCTTTTAAAAATTATTCAATTTTTTCTTATTCTTTTTCAATTAAAGGAAAACTAAATTTAAAAATAGCGGGATATATTATAGTAACTTTTTTTGTTTTCCTATTAACCTGATTTTAACCCCAGTATTGCTCTCCCCATCTTGTTCTGCCTGATTTTACTGTATTCTATTTTGTTTGATAGTATCAAGTTTGAGGGTATAGGCAATCACTTTGTAGGCAATAAGATGTACTATGATGCCCATTATGGTTTGACTATTACCTTCTTTAGAAATTCTGTAAGGTCTCCAATGTAGATTTTATTGGTCTTGTTCTGTACTGTTTCTAATCAGTTCTATTATACCTGAAGATATAGGGAACTCTTTTTAAAAATAGCAAGAGGCAGTGGTAACCATTTTTGATCACCTGATATTCTATTTTTGCTTCAAGTACTATGCCCATCCTTACGTTCAAACCAACTCCGTTTTGTTAACTCACTTGAGGTTTAATTCTCTTCAAAAAAAGTAATAAGAACTATGGTAGTAAAAAAAACCCCAAAGGTGTAATTGTTATTGTGAAGAAGAGAGGAAAGGAAGGTGGTCTAAGGGATATAAGTGCCTGTTTGAGTGTGTAGGAAGGAAAACCATATTACTGAGCTTTTGTTGGATCACTGAACAGAACTGTCTGCACTCTTGCTGTAGGAATGTTCACTTTATATGCTTTAATTTTATAATTTGGACAACTGTTTCTAAGAAGACAATATGTAACCTATTAACTAGTGATTTCTTACTGTATTTTTTTCTTGAAATTCTGTATTATTTGTACCCTTTTACTGCTTTGGTTTTTTATGTTCTTTTTTTCCTCCTTAAATAAAAAAAATTAAACCTGGAATTTATATCTTTTATTTATTTATTTTTTGGTACTGGTGATCAAACTGACAACCTCACACTTGCCAGGCAGGGGCTTAAGCCACTGAGCTAAATCCCCAGCCCCCCAATATATATCTTTGACATCTTATCATCTTCAGAGTAGTTGCCTCTACTCTTGGACTTGATACCAGCAAGCATACCAAATGTGAATAAAATCAGTCAAGGCCAAATAACATTCAAACAAACCAGCTTCAAATAAGATCAGTCATAGTAAAACAATGTAAGTAATACAGGGTTTCAGTTTTAGTTAATAGGAAATTAAGGACAATTACCATCATGGTATAACCTGCCATGTTTGGGTTATCTCTCTGTGCCCTCAAATCTAATATGAGTAGACAGACCAGAACAAAATATAATCAAACTAAACAGAGCAACAGAACTACTGTAGCATTTAAATCCTGATACACTTTTAACAATGTGCTCTGCCTTCTTTATTTAGGCAATTCCTCACCTTTCTCCTTCTCAGGATACTATTATTCACTATTCAGAGTGATATTAGTTTAGTCTCTTATGTTCAATTTCAGCATACATAAAAGTAAGAAGTGGAGCTCTACTCAAGTACATATTGTACTTGAGTATACGTAGTAGTATACATTGATGTATTTTACAAAATCCATGTGTGGTGAAAGCTTTCCCACATTCTTCACATAAACAGGGTTTCTCAACAGTGTAAATTTTTTCATGTATTGGACAACAATGAGCATTTCTGCTGAAACCATTCTCTACTACGAAGAGAATGAGACACATTATGGTAATCATTATCAACTTCCCCAAAATCAGTCTTGAAGATCACAAAAGCCTGCATCATCCTGTAATTATTTGATTAGTTCTATAATGTTCAGTATATATTCAATGCATGTGAAGTTGGCAACAACTATTTGGAAGAAAACTAGAGACAGTAAGATAGAAAATGAACATCTCAGGGGACATGCTTTGAAACCTGTGTTTCCTTAACTTGTTTCCTTATGAACTGTCCTGTTTTGTCATGTTTAATCTTACCGTCTTTAAGATAAAAAACAAGTTTGTAGAACAGATAAGCATATTAATATGTTTTTGTTGGATCACTGAGGTGAACTGTTTGCAGTGTTATTATTTGACTATCACTTTGTATGTTTTAATTTTGTAACTTGAACAATTACTTCTAAGATGACAATATGTAACTAATCAACTAGTGATGTCTTATTGTTTATTTTTCAGAACTTCTGTATTATTTCTACATTTTTTGCTTTTTTCTTTAACTAATAATAATTCACCAAAAATATAAAAATTAAGGTTTGAAGACAAAATATTAAGTACATGGACACTATCCATACTTAAAAGTGAAAAGCCCATTTCAGTTTATCATGTTTAATTACAAGATGCCATTTTGAAGCACAAAGACACTTTAAAAAATCTAAACAGGTATAAGTGATTAACTGAAAACCATAAAAATATGTACTTGAGTAGAGCTCCACTTCAGATTTGTCATTTCTGGAAAATTTGTGAAGAAATATTGACATCAAACTTCTGTATTGATTATTTCTTCAGGTCTACTTGGAATGTTTAAAGTAAACTTAGATGTAAACTGTCTGAAGAGTGCTGTTTTATCTATGTATTTAACAACAAACATGGATTGCCGTATTTCTCACACTGTTAATACACATAGGATCAAGTGATATCTTTCAGATATGTAACAATGATCAAGTCTGCTGAGAGTATTCCCATAACACATAGGATTTACCTCTTGTGTGAGCTTTTTCACGTATTTCACTTACAATCTGGCTGCTGAAAGTGTCTCCACTTGCTTACGTAGCCAGTGGTTCATCCCAGTGTGAATTGTTTCATGTGTTTTGCAATGACTGTATGTGGTAAAAGCTTTGCCACATTGTTATATACATAGGGTTTTTCATCAGTGTGGAGTCATTGATGTATTTTACAAAATCCATGTGTGGTGAAAGCTTTCCCACATTCTTCACATAAACAGGGTTTCTCAACAGTGTAAATTTTTTCATGTATTGGACAATGAGCATTTCTGCTGAAACCTTTCCCACATTCCTTACATATACAAGTTTTCTGCCTGTGTGAAGTTTTTCACACATTATGCAATATGTACTTGTGCTTAAAAAATTTTCATGATGCTTATATACACTGGTTTTATCTTGAGTGTGAACTTTCATGTCGCTTACAGTGTCCATGTCGGGTAAAAGCTTTCCCACATTGCTTACATACATATGGTTTCTCACCAGTGTGAATTCTTTCATGTTGTTTACAATGTACATGTTGGGTAAAAGCTTTCCCACATTGCTTACATACATATGGTTTCTCACCAGTGTGAATCCTTTCATGTTGCTTACAAAGTCCATGTCGGGTAAAAGGTTTTCCACATTGCTTACATATATATGGTTTCTCGCCAGTGTGAATACTTTCATGTTGTTTACAATGTACATGTTGGGTAAAAGCTTTCCCACATTGCTTACATACATAGGGTTTCTCTCCAGTGTGAATCCTTTCATGATTTTTACAACCTGCCCATGTGTTAAAAGCTTTTCCACATTGCTTACATATATATGGTTTCTCACCAGTGTGAATACTTTCATGTTGCTTACAATGTCCATGTTGGGTAAAACCTTTACCACATTGCTTACATACATAGGGTTTCTCTCCAGTGTGAATTCTTTCATGTTCCTTACAACATCTATGTGTGGTAAAAGCTTTCCCACATTGCTTACATACATAGGGTTTCTCTCCAGTGTGAATCCTTTCATGATCTTTACAACCTGCCCGTGTGTTAAAAGCTTTCCCACATTGCTTACATACATATGGTTTCTCTCCAGTGTGAATTCTTCCATGTTTCTTACAATCTCCCTGTGTTTTAAAAGCTTTCCCACATTGCTTACATACATATGGTTTCTCTCCAGTGTGAATTCTTTCATGTTGCTTAAAATGTTCAGATTTGGTGAACCCTTTTCCACATTGCTGACATACATAGGATTTCTCTCCACTGCAATATTTTTCATGGATCTGAACATTGTGGTGTGTTTCTGATTCTTTCATATTCACATTACCTTCTGCAGTACAAGGGAATACTTCTTTACACTGATTCCAAAATGTATGTCCATAGGATTTCCCTAGCTTTTCATTTCTGTAAAAAAAATCACATATAGGATTGATAACCGTATTACAAAGATTTTATTGAAGAGTTGAGCAAAACTGCAGTCTCACTGTTTGAATCCCCACTTCATATGTTTCACTTTTTTGTTTCATTAAGTATTTCTAAGAGCAGCATATGTAATCATTGACTTTAGATTTCTTACTGTTTATTTTCACTTTGAAAGTGGTATTATTTCTACTTATTTTGTCTTTTTTTAGTCTTTCCTTACATTAAATAAAAAAAGAAAAATTCACAGTGAAATGGGTCTCAGTTTAATGACTGCATTAATGTCAACTTCTGTTTTTAATGCCTAAGAAATTCTGACCATGAAGTAACAGAATGGCCTTGTAAGACATGTTGAAAACAACCATCCCCAAAAGACTGGTTCACGTTTGGAAATCTTAAAATTTGGTACCTTTTGTAATGCAGAATCTTTAGCTTCACTTTGGGCATGGGTACATATGTGCATCACATACAGAACATTCTGATATGTTTCCCTATCACTATCTCCCTTCTGTCCTTAACCTGTAGGTCCCTTTTCCATATGGTCAGTCTTACTTTTCTTTATTAACTCTCTTTCATTTCATTCCACAATTTATATTTTGGTTTCTCATCTAAAAGAAACCCTGTGAAATTTTAGGTTTTATAGCTGAGCTATTTCACCGAATTGATGGGAGAAAGAATCACCTATTGCTTATGGCAAATGACATTATATTCTTTATTTTTTGACATTATATAACACATTTTTTTTTCTTTTCCATGCTGGGAATGAAGAACAGCTATTAGCATAAAATCTATAGCTTTTAAAATCTGTTTTAAGACATTTTCGCTGATCATTAAGTTGTGAAGTTTGAACTTGAATTTGCCATTCTGCAAAATCTGATTCCTAGTGTGCTGGATTTACAAGAATGCCCAATCACAGAGAGTCTATTAACATTTTCCTTCTCCACAAATCCAGTGATTGATAGGTAAGCTTCTTCAAGGCATGATCTATTATAACTTGATCTGCTTTGTATATGAGTAAGCATGTATCAGTATTTTATGTGGATTTTGAATTTTTAAAAATATATCCAAGACAAGTATGAGGGGATCAATTTCTAGAGACAAATGCACACTGATAATCAGAATGAGTGCACTTAACATTCTACCAGCCTTCTAAGAATTTTACTCAGAATGGCTGATTCTTTAGAGCATGGCTTGGAAACACAAGCACTCTGTTTTATTTCAAATTCTATTGCAATCATAGAAATTTTTAGATAATGAATGTGTTGTATTCACATGTATATATGGGTAGAAAAACTGAAGGGAGAATGTCATAACTCAAAGTGTATGCCTTTCATACACATCTATATGCAATGTCATACATTTTCATGATTTAATTCCCTCATTATACATACCCTAGCTTATACGACTTCAGAGAATATTAGTGACAATAAATTGAATGGTGCCTTATTTGTTTGGTTGTCATTTTTCTGCTGACTAACTAATTACTCAGGAACATTCCTTCTCCTTGTGAGTGCAAATTACCTTAAGTATCTCCAGTAAATTTTGCATCGTTTTTCAGCTTCCTGGATATCCCCAAGTCCTCCTGAATTGTAGAAATAGAAATACGAGCACTCATTAGAATAATACATACAAATTAATAGATTTTGTTTAGAGTTATGATATAATGTGTCCAGGTCTGAGCTATTTTTAAAAATATTTTCACATTGTTTTTAACAAACAGCACTAATGAGTGACATAAAACATTCTGACAGCATGAGTGACAAAATTATTTTGTCCTTACCAATTGCAGTCATGTTCCTAAAGGTTTCGCCCATCACATCTCTGTAGAGGTTCTTTTGGGATGGACTCAGCAAAGTCCACTCCTCATTGCTGAACTTCACCACCACATCCTCAAAGGTCACCAACTCCTAATGGATCATACATATATTTCTCACACAAAGGTTGAGACACCAGGTTTGTGATATCTTAAATTCTCTCCTACAAATCTGAATCAAAAGAAAAGTGTGGTGGTGCATATCTATAATCCCAGCACTCAAATGCTAAGACAGGATGGCTTCGGTGAGTTCGGGCAATTCTAGGCTCCATAGGGTGTTCAAATCCAGCTGATATACATACAGAAAGCTTGTCTCAATAAAACAAAACAAAACGAAACTAATAAAACCAAACAAAACAGCTGAATGAAGACTGATTTCTTCAAATTTAAATCCATGTTTTGTTCATTAATTTTGTGTATATACACATTTTTGAAGACAGCAAATTTGATGATAGATTGCAAGTCACTGCTGATGTAACAGTGAAATAGGAGCACTGATTCTTGTGCTGAGTCATGGCAAGATTCTCTGTGTACTGTCTCTAAAGCAGAGCTCATAGTGAGAAGCCTGCAGACCAGCATCCACAAAGCACAGAGGCACATAAATATCCCATCAATCAACTGGGAAGCCAAGCAAGGACCTCCCTTCCCTGATAAGTGATGGCAATGTGGCAGACTGTGGCCCATCCAGGGGGCAAACCAGCAGCTCCTTAGATCCACGCTATGTGGGAACTTAGGATGCTGTGAAACCAAACAAGCAGCCTGTTTCCCTACTAAGCAATAGTGAACCTACTGATGAACAGCCTAGAATCAAACATCCCTCTTCCCTACCCCTCTTCTCCTGTCACCCCCCCCCCATTAGCAAAGGAAACCAGAAATCTGAGAATCTCCTGGGAAGCAAACCATAACAAATAAAGGGGACTTCCTTGTAGTATCTCTTTGAAGGCAAATATTTTTATTACTGTTTTGCCCTATTCTGATTAATGGTATTGCTCTATTCAATATTCTGTTTTGATAAGTACTATAATGTTCTCTATTTCATCTCATTTTGATATACATGTTTGAAAGAACAACTATTATAAAGATAATAAAATATGTTGTGATACCTATTACTGTTATCCCAGTAACCTGTTGTAAAGTTGTGTACCAATTTCACTGTATGATCTTAGTTGGCCTTATTCTGCCTTGTTGTGTTGTAATATACCACTTTCAAAATTTAAAAAAAGAAAGAAAATCTCATCAATCACTTTGATAGGCTACAGATAATGTCTCTTCAAAACTCATTTAGGCCAGTTAGTACTTTGTTCTTAATATACTTCAGCAGCATTTTGAAACATGAATTTGGTTTCATAGAACAAAACATAAATAACATCCAATATGGTACACAAATAATAACTCAAATGTTAGTGGAAAATACTGTTTTTAAAAAATAAGTATATAAAATGGAACCAGGCCCAAGCTGTAATTTACAGCTCACTGTCACCAAGCGATCACTTTCAATTCAGATATAAGAAATATATCTTGGGAGGCTGGGGAAGGAATTCTTCCTTGAATTTGGGGCTATCCTAAATTACAGAGCTGTATAAAATAGAGAAACCCTGACTGTGACACCCCACAGACAAAGTGAAACTTGAAAAGAGAATGCATAAGACACCTTTGGTTTGTTTTTAAAAATTATAGCCATACAATCCCGAAAAATGCCAATAGTGTTCAACACTTTCTGAGAAACAATGTGGATATCTTCCATACTACACAGAAAACACTTTCATAGTTGGGTATTTAGCTCAGTGGCATGACTGTCTTCCGAGAAAGCATAGGTAATGAGTTTGATCCTTGGTACAAAAAAAATCCCAATTTTACCTTCATGAACTGGAGCATTAGAGATAATCCAAATTAAATCTCAAGTATGGAACAAAAAATACATGGGTTGACAAGGATGTGAAATACTGATTGTTGCCAGAGCTGGTGTTGATCACATCAAGGAAGCAATCAGAACTCAACTTTAACTTCATACTTACTCTAAGAACTACCTGAATTTCAGTGAAGACCCTCTCTGTTGTATGTCCTGCTATTGGCTTCCTGCATCTTGTCAGTCACTTGCACATCCTTTCCATGCTCCTCTGATCCATCCTCAGCAGGAAACCCTTCATGCCAAACTATTGATATCACTGCAAAATTTCTATTTAGAGCATCTCCTTTATACCACTTAGTAAAGTCCATTGCAGAGCATTTCCATATTTAAATTGTGCATGAACAAACAAACGACTAAATCAGCACTTAGTAAAGACCATTGCATAGCATTTCCATATTTAAACTGTCTATGAACAACCAAACTACTAAATCAGCTCTTAATTCAGATGACACCCCAATTCCTTTCCATTTAGAACAATATGATGTGTATATGTCCCTGCAAATGCCTATATTTTGGCATTTTTTGATGAGAATTTAACAGGTAGCCCTTTCTGGAATTTGCCCTTAACAAATTTTTACCCTGTCCTTGATAACACTTTCATATTTGCTTCATTGTTCTCAAACTTCAAAACTCTATGGCTGTGCTCACAAATGTGAGCAGGGGTGCCACATAAATAATTAAGTATGTTCAGAAATTATTTTGCACTGTTCTGTATAATACACAGGAGTTTACCAGGTGTTTGGGAAGCCTTCCTCTACTGAAGCACATTACTACACATCTCTGTATTCTTAGGACCTTTGCCACTACCTGTCATGAGGATGGAAATATGAGAACATACTATAAATATAGGAGACCACTATAAATACAAAAAAGCCAAAGTTTAATTTGAGCCATTGTGACTATAAAGCCCTGCATTACAGGCATTAATGAACTTTGGACATTCCAGAACAGCTACTCTGAGGAAAGAGAGCAAAGACCTAGCTCATTACTGCTCTACAAGCTACAAAAAGCATCATAGTCAGGGTCTTCCCAAACTCCTTCCAATGCCTAAGATTGTGGAGTTACCAGGCCAGCAGTCAATTTCAAAGATTATACTTGAGTCTGCTGCTGTCATAGTGGAGCCAGGGTTCTGGGGACCCCAAATCACCCTTGCCAACAGCAAGAGGCAAAAGGGACAGTGAATGACCCATGGCCAATGCTTGAGGACCTCAGGAGCTGAAGCAACTAAATACCTGAGGCTCCAGACACCAGAACTACTCCTAAATACTTGTAACTGGTTTCACCCAATCCACCCTATCTCTGGGCTCCCATCCACAACCTCACCCTTCCATTGCTCCAAGATCTCTCAGGTTCTTTGCTAATCAGGCCACAGGACATCAAAAGTACTAAATGAGATCCAGAAAGCATTTTGCTACCAGTATTATACTCAGAACAGGGAAATCATGATGAGACATCAGAAGAGACAGAAGTCACAGCCAGCAATGGCCCATTGGATTGGACAGTTCATAGAGCCTGCCCCTTCATCACTGATTGACTCCTGCTCTACTGCCCTCCTTCTGAGTCAAGAATAAACAGGGAAAGGAACCCTAACCCTGCAAGAGAGGATCCCAAATGATAGACTGTAGTGCAGAAGCTTCTTGAGCTGCCATTCTTCTCCAGTGGTGAACTCAGCTGGATAGAGGAGTATTTCTACAGAAGAGCTTTACCTCAGGCTTTTAATTTTCAAATCCATTTGATTTCAAGGAAAAAAGAACACATCAACTAAAATTAAACTTCAAAACATGTTAATCAGGGGGCAACACTGGTATATACATTGCACATTGTCATCCCCAGGTCATTCACATAGAGCACAAGACATCTCTAATCAATTTTCCAAACAGTACTGTTACAGGGAACCTGAGTTATTTAAATAGTATTGGCAGGAGACAGGGCTAGGTCCCCCAAGCAGCCCATGCAGGAGACCAGATAGCTTGCAACTATGGGGAAGACTGACACCTCATGCTATGGGCCAAGGCTGAAGACAAATGACAAGCAAATTCATCCATATCCTAAGGATTGATATTCTAAATAGTTCCCTAGCACTCTGAGGAAGTCAGGAGTCACCATTTAAAGAAAGGTATCCTTATCCTAAAGACTGACATTCTAAATAGTTCCTATCATCCTGAGGAACTCAGGAGTCACCCTCCCAAACCCCTAAGGGAAGTCACAGCTACCTAAGAATGCCTGCTTTCTATGTGACTCCCTTCCCTCTTTGTTCCCAATTTAATCAACTTTACCTGAACTTATAATCTTATTGGTTACCTTAGCTCTGTCCCATCTTATGCCCATCTGCATTGTGAGTTCCTAGTTTTCCCCTCCTTAAACTAATTTCACCACATGATTTTACTCTATAAAGATCCCTAGAAAGGACAGTGTTTGGCAACCTGCTCAGGACCCCTTCTCTGTCTCAGGCAGCTTTCTTTCTCTCAATAAGTATATTCTTCTGTTAATTTCTGTTGTTCCTAAAATTCAGTCTTTGACTTTACAGAACAAAAACTTCATATCAGACATAGCATACCTGGAGACTGATTTTGCTATAGCAATATCAGTATAAACTTTTCTCTTTCTGGAAGTCAGAGAAATCAGTTGTAGTTTATATTACACAATGTTGAACTCACCTTGCCAGGGATACTTGCATTGAAGGCCTTTATCCCTGCCTTTAAGTGCTGCTTCTTTTTTGAAAGTGAACTGATCTGTAATTTTGGTTATGGTATCCACAATGTATTAAGGAATTGAATCAAAATATTTCTTATGAATGGCTTATCTCCAGCCATGGTAGAAGACAGATAGCAAAAATTCTTTGTTTTGATTTCTTCATTCAGTCCAAAGGATGTACTTGAAAGAGTTTTGCCCTAGAAAAATTATAGGACCTCATAGTGGTAGTTCAAGGTGGAAGAAGGTAAACTCAGGGATGCTTACTCACATGGCTACTTCCTCTTTTCTCCTTGATTACAACATCCTCTTTCTTTCCCAGGGGCCTAAAGAAAATTCCCATTAGCTCCTAGCATGACATCACTGTCCCCTCCAAGCACCACATCCAGTCAAAAGTCACATATACCCCATAACCCCATAGTCAGTCAGAAAAAAATAAAAGCCAAGCCCTTAATGGCTGTGGGCTTGTCTCCACATTCTTTAAATAAAAGGCCACTTTTACATTATTATATTCAGCTTCTCTATGGTGCTAAGCTACCTCCTCAGTAATATCAGTAATCTAACCCACTTTAAAACATTTTCACCACATGAGTTTATTCTATAAAGTCCCTATAAAAGACAGAGTCCTTTGCTATCTGCTCAGAATCCCTCCTGTTTCTCTCAGACAGAAGCTTTCTGATAGGATTTTTGGTGTAATAAAGAAGAGAATATAAAGTCAAAATGGCCTTTATTCTAAATATATGGAGAGAACCCCATGACCACTGGGGGTCTCACTTTTTCTTTTGGAAGTGTGTGGGTGGCATACATATAGTTTTTGACTTGGGTGGTGCTTAAAGGTGGCATTGCTGATATGCAAGTAGCTGATTGAGATTCTTTTCTGGCCACAGGTAAGTTGAATAGGGAAAAGGAAAGTGACTTCCAGGTAAAAGTCCCTTGGTTCCACCTCCCACTCCCAAAATATCCTATTTAGAGCAAAATACTTTCACTTTCTCTCTTTCAATAAATATATTCTGCTCTTCAACTCTGTTGTTCCTAAAATTCATTCTTGCACTATAGAGAACACAAACTCATACCAGACATAGAAGGTCAGGAATTGCATTCCACTGTATCATGGTATGGTTGCCTGTATTTCTAACTCAGCTGTCTGTAACTTTAAGAATTGTTTATCAATTTGACTTGGAGTAATTGTAGCAAATAAATGTTCTTAATGGATATAGGGAAATATATCATTAAATTGAAAAAAATGTTTATCACAGTTTTTCTAGCTAGCATCAGCCAACATTTTCAACTTTCAAATATGTGGGAAAACAAAAACTAAAAACAACTCAGAAAATAGCAATCCTTTAGGGGACAGTACATCATTCACTGTAATTGCCATGTTATCTGCAGGTATTTCATAGACCAAAAAAGAAACATTGAGCCTGTTAGTTAACAAGCATAAGTTTCAATAAATGTGCTCATAGCACTGCATCGTTGACAACTGTGAATTTTTTTTTTGTATGAGGGATTGAACTCATGACTTTGTGCTCTCCAGGCAGCTCCTTGTATCACTGAGCTCAATCCCCAGCCCAAACAACTTTTGATACTAAATATAACTATTAACAATGTTTAATTTGCCATTGACATATTTAATTATAAATTTTGTAAACCTACATTTTCACGAATGAAATTATTTTCTTTCCTTGCAGTTTAAATTACATTTTTTTTAGGTACCAAGGATCAAAGTTACAACCTAGCACTTTCCAGGCAGGCATTTCTGTCTGCTGAGCTAAATACCTGGCCTGTATTAATATTTTTAAATGTATAAACATCAGTTAATTCACTCAAATACTATTGTGATTTTAGCACAGGATGTCAATGTAGAAAGAAATTGATATACAATGAGAGAGGAACTGGAACCTCAAAGAGTCAATGCAAAAAACTAAATACAACAATCACTGCTACAGGCACAGCTGAAGAAAGCCAGAACTGAAGATGAAGATGCAGTGACCAGGTCTCCATGCTCCTGCAGAGAAAAACAACAGCTTGAAATGTACTACAGTTACCTCAGCCTCCTCCAGGAAGTCCTGCTAGGCATCAATTAGGATACTCAATGACCAGAACAACTGGACTATTGTTCCCACAAAATGCCTTGGCTCTTTCCACATAACTTTTCTGGCTGATTTGTTCCCCTGATGAATAATATTAGTTAAGCAGCTATAATCTTATAGGTTGATTGTAGTCTGAGACACACATTGTACTCACATTGTGACTTTCCTGTATA